CGCCCCCGCGCTCCGGTCCGACAACCCCTCCGGTCGTCTTGCGCGCCCCGCAAACTCATTTAACCAGAGATGATTCCCCCGTGTTTCACGGGCTGGCGGGCGAGACGCTTCGAGCAGACGACGTCCTCTTCCTACAAGGCGGCTACACAGGAATGCTAATTTGCAATTAGAAAACAAGTTTTTGCTCTTTAAAAAAAATGGTTAAAACTTCTCTCATTGAAGTTTTAACTTTTAGTGAAACGTTTCACATTTTTCACATTATAGAAAGATCCCTTCCTATCAAATTTGCATGTTTCGAAACGCGTGTTGTTTCGTGTGTTTGCAGACGACATGGTGGAGAAAATGCGGCCCGAGGTGACGCTGCACGACGTGGACGGGGTGGCGCTGCGGCAGCTCATCGAGTACTCGTACACGGGCGAGATCCTCATCACGGAGGACAACGTGCAGGTGCTGCTGCCGGCGTCCAGCCTGCTGCAGATGGAGCCGGTGCGCGAGGCGTGCTGCCGCTTCCTGCTGCGCCAGCTGCACCCGTCCAACTGCCTGGGCATCCGGAGCTTCGCCGGTGAGTACCACGACGAGAGCCCCCCCCCCCCCCTTGCCGCTGGCGTCGTCCCTTCCGAAGGATCTTCTTACTCGTCATGGGGCTGGCGGCGACGCCCTCGCAGGCGGGCGCGGGCAGCCCCGCGGGTTCGGGCGGGCGCGCGCCATTGTGCCGGCGTCCCATTCGCTTTTGCAATGCAGATCGTAGTTGAGGCGGTGTGGTGTTGAGACTCAGCGGAGCGCGCCGTCAGGACACGTCAGGAGTGTGTGTGTGTGTGTCTGTGTGTAGTGCTGACACTCGGTCTGCTGCAGAGGGAGCCTGCTCCCTCGGGTCTCGAGGCGCCGCCGCACGGCTGTTTGTAACATTCAGCGGTACATGTTGCCCCGACAGCCCGTAGCGTAGCAGGCCTTGCGGCCAACCCCCCTGGCAGCAGCGCCACCCTCTATCTCAATTTCATCGTGTTACGCAGACCTGAAGTACCTG